CTTAACAAATATATTATATTCAACTTGAGTTAATTTTTTTTATAAATAAAATTTAAATGATATAATAATATTCATTAATTTGATTAGTTCAAACATTCTAAAATTGGCTTGAGAATTCTCTAATCATTAATTCATGAGAGAAATCACTAATATCTGGGAAAAGTAGTTCACATGTCATAATAAATTATAGAGAAAATAACCTCAGTGACCAAAAATGTCTTATAATATACGAGTTTAACCAACTATTTTTGGATTTGCCAAAATGACCAACTAAATCGCAATGCGATCGATAATTCGCAACGCGATATCCAATATCGCAAATCAGTTTCCAGATTCGTAACGCGAACTTCGACTATCGCAATGCGAACTTCGACTATCGCAATGCGAACTTCGACTATCGCAATGCGAACTTGGACTATCGCAATGCGAACTTGGACTATCGCAATGCGAACTTAGACTATCGCAATGCGAATATGTAAATCGCAATGCGATAGTCGACTATCGCAATGCGAACTTCGACTATCGCAATGCGAACTTCGACTATCGCAATGCGAATATGTAAATCGCAATGCGATAGTCGAAGTTCGCATTGCGATTTACATATTCGCATTGCGATAGTCGAAGTTCGCGTTGCGATTTATTCCAAATTCGCAACGACTGGTGGTATTGCATTTGTTTCTTAAGAATTTTCTCTAAAAAGATAGTATTCGCGCGGACGTGTCGAAGACACGTATTACCACGACCACGACCACGACCACGACCACGACCCGAGACGAGACAGACGGCGGCGGCAGCGGCGCGCGAGAGTCCCCCTTGTTCTCTATCACTCAACAAGGAAGTGGGAAAGCCAAGCCTTAAATACTATTCCCAATAGTGTTTCCAATACTATGTGAGATTGAGCATTACCAACACTTGTTCCCAATACTATGTGAGATTGAGCCTTAAATAGTGATATTATTTTAAATGTTTTGCTTAAAATTGCAATAATCGCGATTGATTGTAGATTGACTTTTAATTATGACATATTTAATTGTATAATACTAATGCAATTGGTTGCTGATTCAGTTGTTTTAAGGTGCATGATTGTTAATTGTTTCCTGAATAATCACATTGTATTGTAAACAAGTGTTGGTCCCAATAGTGTTTTCAATACTATGTGGGATTGAGCATTACCAACACTTGTTTACAATACAATGTAATTATTCAGGAAACAATTAACAAACATGCACCTTAAAACAACTGAATCAGCAACCAATTGCATTAGTATTATACGATTAAATATGTCATAATTAAAAGTCAATCTACAATCAATCGCGATTATTGCAATTTAAAGCAAAACATTTAAAATAATATCACTATTTAAGGCTCAATCTCACATAGTATTGGGAACAAGTGTTGGTAATGCTCAATCTCACATAGTATTGGAAACACTATTGAGAATGGTATTTAAGGATTGGCTTTCCCATTTCCTTGTTGAGTGATAGAGAACAAGGGGACTCTTGCGCGCCGCCGCCGTCAGTCTCGTCTCGGGTCGGGTCGTGGTCATGGTAATACGTGTCTTTGACACGTCCGCGCGAATAATATCTTTTTAGAGAAAATTCTTAAGAAACAAATGCAATACCGTCGTTGCGATTTTGGACTATCGCAACGAATTTAGAATAAATCGCAACGCGAACTTCGACTATCGCAACGAACTTGAAATAAATCACAACACGAACTTGGACTATCACAATGCGAATATGTAAATCTTAATACGATAGTCGAAGTTCGCGTTGCGAATCTGGAAACTGATTTGTGATACCGGAGATCGCGTTGCGAATTATCGATCGTATTGCGATTTAGTTGGTCATTTTGGCAAATCCAAAAAAAATTGGTTAAAATCGTATATTATAAGGTATTTTTGGTCACTGAGATTATTTTCTCTAAATTATATATATATATATATATATATGAAGATAGTGATTAAGTGGAAAACTAGAACATCTAGATGTCAACAACAAAGCCTTTATTAGGTTCTTAGGGCCCCACCTCCCCGTATTGCTAAAATTTATTTGGAAGGCCTTGAGATGGTTTCCAACCAAAGAATCAGCTCCTTTAATACTCTATAATAAAAATATTTATTAAAAAAATACGAATCAAATTAAATCAGATTAAATTTATATATAAAATTAATATAAATTATATTCATCTCTATATTTTATTTTTAAAAAAATAAAAAATTAATGTTATTTACATAACCCAACATTAGGTCGATAATACATAAATCTCGGTGGTCTCCTGGCCTAACCTCGGTGGTAAGATCTATCATACATTCAAAACTGGGAAATAATGGCATTATTAGGGACCCATTATTTGCCCAACACATTTGGTCCACCTTAAGATTAGGAGTCAGAAAATTATTTTTAATGGAAAACATGGGTACTCATTATTAAGCATTGATGCTTGTACTTTATTGCAGTTTCATTCGAAGAGTGGGGTGGGATACAACGCTAGTGAATAAGTCGTATCCATGGGCGGAGAATCAAATTGTTCACCAGCCTAGACTAGCACAATGGCAGGGTGCCTTCAAGGACAGCCTTTTGGATGTTGGTGTCTCACCTTATAATGGATTCACCTACGATCACATATATGGAACTAAAGTCGGAGGCACCCTTTTCGATTGCTTCGGCCGTCGCCATACTGCGGCTGAACTGCTTGCTTCTGCAAATCCCAAAATGCTCACTGTCTTGGTTTATGCCACCGTCCAGAAAGTGTTGTTCAATCAAACAGGGAAGAGACCAAGGGCAATGGGAGTGGTTTTCAAGGATGAAAATGGGAACCTGCATCAGGCATTTCTCACAAACAACTGGAGGAGTGAAGTGATTTTATCATGTGGTGCAATCGGAACTCCTCAAATGCTAATGCTCAGTGGTATTGGACCGAGGGCTGAGCTCCAGAAATTGAACAATTCAGTGGTTCTGAACAATGAGTTTGTTGGCAAGGGCATGGTTGATAATCCTATGAACTCGATTTTCGTCCCCACTAATCGACCGGTGGAACAGTCCCTTATTCAAACCGTAGGCATTACCAAGATGGGAGTTTATATGGAATCTAGCAGCGGATTCGGACAGTCCCGGGATAGCATTCATTGGCAACATGGAATAATGTCTGCAAAGGTGATCTGAAACTATTCATTAGGAAGAGACGATTAATATAAACTTTATCAGAATGCTGGGTTTAATCCTGATGGTCTCTGCCTTTTTTGTCATACTGAACCAGATCGGCCAGCTGGCTCCGATTCCTCCGAAGCAAAGAACACCTGAGGCGATCCAAGCTTTCATCAAAAGAAAGCGAGACCTACCACATGAAGTATTCAAGGGAGGTTTCGTTTTGGAAAAGTTTGCCAGGCCCATGTCCTCAGGCCACCTCAGCCTGGTCAACACCAACATCGATGACAACCCTTCGGTCACCTTCAACTATTTCCGCCACCCGCGTGATCTGCAGCGATGCGTCGATGGGATCCGCATGATTGCAAAAGTTGTACAATCAAAACATTTCACAGACTTCACAAAGAGTGACAAACCAACTGTAGAGAAGCTTCTTAACATGAGTGTCAAGGCTAACATTAACCTTAGACCAAAGCATATTAATGACACCAGGTCCCTAGAGCAGTTCTGCAAAGATACTGTGTTAACAATTTGGCATTACCACGGAGGGTGCCACGTCGGCAAAGTGGTGGACCCTGACCTCAAAGTTATTGGCACCAACCGACTCCGAATTGTCGATGGCTCCACATTTAGTGAATCCCCTGGAACTAATCCTCAGGGCACTGTCTTGATTTCGATTTTTGCAGGTACATGGGAGTCAAAATTTTGAGAAGAAGACTAGGAAAAGCTGCTAATGTGTAACGACTTGCGAACAACTGGAGGCATTTGAACAGATCCGTTTTTGAGATTTGTGTGGTCCTGGGATAAATCTAAAATTTGGACCTTTAATGATAAGTATTAAAAGATAAAATGAATTTTAATATATGCAAAAATAAATTAATCTACTTGTAAATTATATTTTTTATTAGGCCCAACAACTATCTAATAAGTATATAAAATTTCAAATGAAACAATTAAAAAAAATTACTACTAGATACCCAACTACTCACACAAAACACTTTCCATAACTTTGACAAATTTGAGAATTTTAAATGTCGCTATTAATTTACTCGACAAAGTCATTTACGATAATTTTAATTTTAAAAAGGATCATCTATATCAATGTCATTCAAATTATTATGAAAAAAAAATCTTAAAGTTTGTGCAAGATTTTTATAATTTATCACTACTTTAAGATTTTAATATTCTGAATCCAAATAAAAACCTAAAATATTATCATATAATTTTAATTATTTAAATTTATTTTTAATAACTTATAATTAAATCTATAATTATAACAATTAATTAATTTTAAATATATTTTTTAATTGTGGGCTTGGGCAACTGAAGAGCAGTGTTTGTTTGTAGTAGTGCATAAGTGTATGTAGAGTAAAGCTTGCCACGGGAAATTTAGCATTTCCATTGCTGTTAATTTATATCATGAACTCGTCTTGACTGTGCTCCTAATGCTTGGTGCCAAGGTTGATGTTTTTGGCACTAAATAATATAAGATTTAAAGATCCAAACGTTGTTTATTATCGGTCGAGATTATATAATCTAATCAGAATTTACCATACTACTTTACCATATGCATCTCAAAGGGTTCTCTTTACATATGCATGTCTCTTCTGTTTCTCATTTTCAAGGAAAAATGGTTGCAGAAAAGAAGATAAACTTGCTGGAAAACAACAATAATCGGGGGGAAATGCTAGTAGTTGAGGATATTAAAGGACGACTTTAGTTGCAGAAGTTTTTTGCTGTGCCTAAGCCAAACAAAAGGTAATACAGTGATCACCTAACTTAGTACAAAATGTTAGGTAAGCTCGAGCGGCATTTAAGTGCATGTTAATGTTAACTTTTGGTGCATGCATGTACCAGAATAAAGCATCTGTCTGCATTCAGAAAATTTCCCAGTTCTTGTTCAAGAAAGCCAACACTAATTACTCATGGAAGATATTGTGACATCAATGGAAAGGGGTTTTAGCAAAATTTTAACGAGACCCTCGCCAAAATTTGACAGAAAATCCGTGCTCACTTCGGCTGCCTCTCGAAAAACTTCGTATTCTCTGCAAGAAATGTCTTCTCCTTCCTGTTCCTAGAGGGGCCGAGCACGAGTGCCTCCGAAACGACCCAGGCTCCTGCACCTCAAGCCCTGGTGGGACACTTAAAAAATCCACTGCAGACAGTGCTATATTGCTTTCACGGCTATAGTCATAGCCAGGTGTTGGGTGATAGGTCTGTGAAGCTTCCACAAGCTCACTTGAAAGTCTACTAAGCTTACTATCTACTGTCGTAGGAAAGTCCTGGATGCCAGCCTTCGGTTCGACCTCCATTTTCTCATCAAATTCATTACATACGAGTTTTAATGCTTGAACAACTTCGCCCATGAATGGACGATGAGAAACTTCTGGCTGCACGCACATCGATGCAATCGCCGCTACCTTGGCAATGCTATCTAACAAGATATCAGATTTTATGACCGGATCGATAATGGTTTCTAAACCTTCCTTGTCTGTTAGGAGTGTACGAGCCCATGCAACGAGATTTTCTTGACCTGGGGGCTGCAACAAGTCCACAGGTTTCCTCCCTGTTAAGAGCTCAAGTAGGACTACCCCATAACTATAAACATCACTTTTGACAAGAAGGTGTCCGGTCATTGCGTACTCTGGAGCCAAGTAACTGGAAAAATAAGTTCATCAGCAATAAGTAATCTGTATGTAGAAACAGGCAAAGAACAAAAAACTGCCAACATCACTACATTCTAAGAAACCAGACAGATGATTCTCATGAGGCATGCAAGTATCGGAAAAGCTTCATTGAGAAAAGATAACTGGTCATGAAAATTGAAAAGGATTGATTCATGAATGATAGGAGAGAAGTTCATACCCAAACGTTCCCATTACATGTGTTGAGATGTATTTATTCCCTTCATCCAAAGCGGTTCTAGCCAATCCAAAATCCGAAACTTTAGGGGTAAAATCATGTTCCAGCAAGATGTTGCTGGATTTGAAGTCTCGATGTATAACCCGGGGGTTGGAGTCTTCATGTAAATATGCCAAGCCTCGGGCTGCACCGAGAGCAATCTTCATACGGGCACCCCAGTCAAGTGGATTGGTTTCCTTCTCAGCTCCTGGGAGAACATAGATAGAGAATTAAACGATATCTAATCTGTAATATGTAACAGGCTAATCACTCACGAGTGAAAAATGAGAAAGGGGATTTCACTTATGCTGAAGATATTCACCGTGTAAATGGGATTCAAGACTTCCATTCGGAACAAGTTCGTAGACAAGACAATGTATATTGTCCTCGGTGCAAATACCAATCAGTTTAACCAGATTTCTATGGTGCAGGCGGCTAAGCATCTCCACTTCTGCCAAGAATTCTTGTCCCCCATGTTGGTCCTTCCTCTTCAGAACTTTAACAGCCACTGCAGCTCCATCATCCAAACTGCCTCTATAGACAATGCCAAAACCTCCTTCACCAATCACCCTAGAATCATCAAAGCTATTTGTCGCTCTTTCTATATCATTCAAGGTGAAGTTCTTTGCCAATCCAGTATATGTCATCCCACTGGAACTAAAAGACATTGATGTAGCACTGGATTTGCTTCCTTGCATAACAGGCCTAGCAGACCCTGCTGATTGTCACAAAATGAGGTCTGAGCAAGCCCAAACAATGCTTTGGACTAATGATGACAAATTAATAGAAGAATGGAAAACCATAAATTTAAGTTGAGCAAGGATTCAAGGAAGAAGAAAGCTTGATTTTGATAACAAAATCTGGCAACAAGCTGTTTATTTGAAAGGCAAATCATGTTCTAAGAGAACTGCAGTCTATGAATATAGTCATAATGTAAGTACCTGATGGTTTGGATGGAGAAAATGTTGTAGTTTGTGGTACATGTTTAGGTTCTTTGACACAAGCTCCGAATTTCCAAAGAATAAGCCAAACGATCCCCAAGCATACAACAAAGGCTGAAAAAGATGACAGAACAATCACAGCTATCATGCTTCGTGTAAGCCCTTCTCTCTTCCTCGTAGGAACATCGACTCCTAAAGGTTTTATCGCTTGTCCATGATAGTTACGACCAGTGTATGGCCCATCATCGACAACAGAAACACTGGAACTCGCTGCAGGAGGAGAGGGTGGAAGCCCTGCACGGGTTAAGACCAGCGGCTAAAGCTAGTCTCCGAAAATCTTCAAATCATGCTATCTGATGATATATTACCTGGATAACGAACATATGCAACTTCATAGGGACCAAAAAGAGAAACCTTTATGAAGACCTGTTGGTTCCAAAATTTCTTATAGATAAATAACGCGGTTGAATAGTCAAATTTTACTTCCCATGGTACCAAGTTGATGAGGACCGTACTTTTCTCTAGCTCTTGACTAGCTGCATTTGCTCCCATAATCCGAACTTGGCTGTGATTTAGTCTTACACTAGCAGCAATTTCCTGAGCCAGTTCTGAAACCAAAGGAAAAAATGTGTATATTGAAACACCAAGCCGAAGCTTAACTTGAATTGGCCAGACACAACCACAAGGTGATCCGAGAGGTGTATATGTTAAGGGCTCGCTGCATGCCACTGACGTACAATCTGCAAATTGTATCAAATTTAAACTTTGTTTTCTTTTCATAAGAAGATTACTGATCCAAGGAACCTAACTGAAACGCTCGCTAGAAAAAATAGATCATACGGGAGGTAGTTGGTACCTTTATTAGGAGGTGGAGGTGGTAGTGCCATAACGATGGATGGTGGCGGAGCCTTCATCTTCTTCATGGAAGAAGCGGTTGGAAAAATTGCCGGTTGAAGAATGGGCACTTCTACAATAATGAAGAAAATATGATACTTATTTGTAGCTGGATTAAATTAGTAAAGGAATGCAATGTCAAGCAAATGAAAGAAGTTAGATGTTTCATACTATGAAAGTGGCTTGATGGGGCCGTAGGTGTTGGTGCTGGTGAAATCCAGCTAGGAGTGGAATACTGAGAAGGAGAAACTGCAGGAACTGTACATTTACAAGTATTTTAAATGTGAATATATATATATATATATATATATATATCAATTATTTTCAATCCACAATAATAACTAAGGGCTACCAAGGGAGAGAAATAGACCTTGCTGCCTGGAAGCAGGTTGATGAATTGAATAGGAGGGTTGAGGAGCAGAATTTCTGAAATGTTTCCTTGCATGATGATGCTTATAAAACCATATTGAAGGTGAGGATACAGGACCAAGCATCCGATTCTTCCCAGGGTATCCAAACGATGGTGAAGTAGGTGCAACCGAAATACTTAAAGGCTTCAGGGCATGGTGTGGATGGATTGCTACAAATAAAAGAGAAGAACCTTATTAATTGTTTCAAGTAGGAAAGTCCAGTCCATGACAATTGCTTTTCTGAAAGACGAAAAGTATTCTAGTTTATCCACTCGCCTTTATTTGGAGAGTGATCCGGAGAAGATGATAAATGATGGAACACTTTGCTAGAAGGGGAAGAGGCTAACTTTCCATTTCTAGTCCTGCCAAAGCCGGGAGGTCTTCGTGTCAGAGAAGGCGCTGGATCTGTAGCATCATTTTAAAACAGATCCAACCAACATTAATCATTACAGACTATCATAGTATTAGACGCCATCAGCAATGATTTTGATGCTATGGAAACACAATTTACTGGAAAGTTTAGTTATCTGTCTTGCAAATGTTTCTTATAAGATCATTAGATGGCACCATGTTCTTTGTGGAGTATGCATTTTTTTTTCCTTTTAAAATAGGATATGTGCAGTCTTAGTCTATCAAACCCATTTTGTGACATTCACCTGGATCTGTTGATGGTGGTTGGACTAGCCCGGTAGGATAGATGGTTGGTGTTTTTGCAGGCATTCTTATTGGTGGCGGCCATGAAGTTCTTGCTGCATCAAAACACCGATTGAATCAAAAAAGAGTGGCGGATTAAGCAATGCATCCATAATCAAAAGCTTTAAGTTAGTAATGTCAATGATGAACTTCATGATGGCAACATTACAGCCTGAGAGAGAGAGAGAGAGAGAGAGAGAGAGAGACAACAAGGCTAAGCACGACAGTAGAGAATATAATTGCAAAATTTTTTGAACTTCATGTGACCCACAACAAGGGTAAAACATGTGTATTGATCTTTCTGATTTCGGGTTCTTTGATGTGTCTGTTTATCAACATGAACCAGGTTTGTCAATGCTGTCTTTCAAAATAAAATTGAACTTTCCAACTTGAAAATGAAACATAATTTTATAAAACCAGTGACTGATCCGACAGGTAATGATTTCTGTCAAGTTTTTTAATAATAAATCGTTCAGTTATCCCAAACATTTTCTTCGGAGATAATGATGGAGTCAATGTACCAGCACCATGTAGATCAAAGCAATCAATTGGTTTCTGGAGACAGCCCCCCCCCCCCCCAAAAAAAAAAACCCATCAATCTCCATGAACCATGAAATATTCGGACAATTTATCAATGATATTTTGACAAATGACCAAGAAGTTTCCCCTTAAACCCATAGATCACCAAGAAATACTATTCCAGGAATCATGAAATGTGAAAACACCAACTTCAAATTCACTCATTTAGGCTTTCTTGGTGATCATGAAATACAGATTCTATCTGATACTTAAATTCTCCACTGAGCCAATTTCTCAACAAGCCTAAAGGCATACCATCCTAGTTCATCACTGAAACTAGTTTAAATAACCCAGATCTTTAAAATAGACTTTGAGTTCAAGTTTCATGAAAATCTCAATAAAATAAAAGGCAAACAAATGCATGGATCAAAATTAAACTGCCAAAAAAAAACCCAACTTAGAAGAAAACAGATATAGACAACATTACCTGATGATCCATCAACTGACATAACACTGAGAGTAATACATATGGTGAACAGCAGGAGAGTAACTTCAAATTGACTATGAAACCCCATTTTTTTAAAACTTCCAAAAAAACTGGAACTCAATCTCCAAGAAGTTTCATCTCTCTCAGGCCTCAGCCAATCATCATCAAAGCAAGAAAAAGATAACAGAACCAAATCAGTGAAAACTGAAACTACTCCCTTAAGCAAAACATGGGTATATAACTTAAAGGAACAACCTTTACTACTTTGCTTAAGACTACAAACGAAGACCCCGCCAATGGTGCACCACCAAAGTAAAAATCCCAGGGATTAGGTAACCAGAAAACACCCCAGGTGATCCCTTTATTAGAAACTAATAATGAGAAGATTGGCTTAATCCTATAATGGAAGAGCAGTTTTTTTAATTACTGACTGAAAGTAACAATAAGTATCCCCCTACCCCACACATGCAAAGATCGAAGTTTCACTGGAGGTGATCAAAGCAAAAGAATGATAAAGTAGAACAATGAAGTTAAAGGAGCTTGGTCCAGCTCCAAGACACTTTCCAGTGAGAAAGAGAATTGTTGCTTGGGTATGTTTGGCTGAATTGTTTAACATAATTTGCAGCTTAGGGTAGATTAATAGACACAAGTCCACTTTAGCATTATGACATTTGCGACTTAGAGTTTAGACTAATTTCCAATGATTCAACCATTTAACTTTTTGGGTAAATGAAAATTTTCATCATTCAACTTTAATCTTATTCCTATTTCAGTTAATTCAAATTTGTTTTTTAATTTAATCACTTAATTTCTGAATTATTTTTATTTTGATCACTTTATCGTTAAATACTTGAAAATTTTATGATAGGAAACAAGTCACCAAAACAATGTTGCTTTAGAAAAATCAAATTTACAACAAAACAATGTCATATGGATCATATAAAACCCAATTTCCACATTTTCCCTTCGCCTCTTTTATTCTACTTTTTTCTCTCTCCTTTTCTCCATCTATCCATATTTTAACAATTGCTCGTCGCGATGGACCACTAAATCAACCATCGTTGGTTATCATTAACACGACCGATAAATCATAAAATTTTCTAACAAATTGAATTCGTCATTCTAAATGCAAACTTAATGTTTGTTTAATCGAAAAACACATCAAACTCAACAAATCTAACATTCAAGAGCTTCAGACGTCAAACTACCACCATCTAAAATCACTTTCATCTAACAATAATGTTGTTCGACTCTTCTTTCCTTCGCCGCTCTCAACATTCGACTGTAGAGTCAGTACAGTTCTAAGATGTAAATTTTTCTCATCGAGATTCACGTATTTATCGTTGAAATTCTTCATCCAACCATCAAAACATTGAGGGCTAAAAATAAGAAGTTTCTATCTTCTTTTACTTCTTATTGCTTGGGTTGATGTGTTTGATTTTAGGATTAACTGAGATAGTAGCTCGTGTTAAGCATCAATGAAGGTAATAAGGTGGATGACATAACGGTGAATGGCTGAGCAGGGATATTGTTCAATGGAATTGGATGATGACAAGATGTTATTGGTGGGATGGCTCACATTTGGTTGTGTTTCACTTAGAGTTTGTTGTAATTTTCATTGGTGAGGTGGGAGGAGAGTGTCAGTTGCTAGTGGGATGATGAATGATGGTGATAAAAGGAGAGTTATGAGCGGTTAAGAGATAGCTACTCGAATTTAGATAATTGATTCATGTGAAACAGAGGTTGACGACTTGATGGATCAAATTACAATAATTTAAAATTTTTAAGGTTTAAACCTATCGTCAACGATGATTGGCACAGTAGTCAATCGATGGTTGAAATTTGAATTAGTATCTATAAGACTCAAAAACTAATAAAAATGCTAAGTCAGCACAAAGTTAAAGACAAACAATCAAGTGATCAAAATGAAAGTAATTCAAACGTTTAATGATTAAAATGAAACTTTTTAAATTTTATTGACTAAAATAAAAGTGAAAAGTAAAAGCGTACTTTTTGGATTATTTAAAAAATAAATAAAAGTGGTAGTGATATTGACAGGTATTTCAATGGATTGGGGGAAATCAAAGTAAAGGATACTTGCCCCAAGAAGAGACAATTTAGGCAGAGCTGGGTAGTTATTTTGGAGGGCAATGTTGGACACCACCTCCACCGTTGTTTTTCACAATTTTTTTATTTACCAAATAAAGACCACAAAACAATGGCACACTCAAGCAAGAAACTAAGAGCTTAATGTGTCGGTGAAATGGTCAAGGGACTGCATTCTTTCTACCGCTCTTCCTGTCATCTTTTTGGTTAAAATCTGCTCTCTTAATGGAATTAATTTTGAGATGCAGGTAAATCTATTATAAATATTTAAAATTTAGGTATATGTAAAAAAAATTTAATGATTAAGTAAATAATTACTTTTATCTCTACTCTTTTTATGAAGCATTTTGATTTTCAACATCTTAAGGTAAAAAAACTCTTAGTGTTGAGTAAATAATCACTTTAGCTTTTATTTAATTTTTTTTTGCCCCTAATATTTCATTTTAGTCAAAAAAAAAATTCTATGTTAGAGTGTTGATCATTTGTTGACTATCGATTTTTATGCACATAATGATCACGTCGATATTCAAAATACCTCAGAAAAAGAATATGGACTAAAATGATTATTTAATTATACATTAAGGATATTTTTATCATTATACTTAAATTTTAATATAAAATGTTATGTACTTAAATCCACTTGATTATACTTCAACTTACTTGATATGAAGTCTAGATCGACTACTGACAATACATAAATCTCTAGTTAGTTATATTTTGATATTCAATTAGGAGAATTAATACCCCAACGTAAGATACCAAACATAAACCACCTTTTTAGTAGGTAAACCAAATATCTTCCCTCACCCAATTTATATTTTTCTATGATATGATTTCAACCTTAGCTTTCGTCTTTGATTAGGCAACAAGGACGGGTCCATCAGCTAATTTGTGTCTGTTGCTAACTCGAGTGTTATTATCCCATCAAATGGATTAAAGTGTTCAATGTGTACTTCATTTAGTTATTTATAAATAATGAGTTCATTAAATATTTATTAGTGTTACGATATTATCTATATAATTATTTTAAAATAATAATATTAGATCGATATATTTGAATTTATTCATATTATGAAATTATAATATGGAGATGAAAATTTGGAGATTTTATATAGTTGAGAAAAGGAATTTCCACTATTTATTAAGGTGTGTTGATTCTTTGAATTGTAATGCTTGGATAGGGTTGTGAAATTGTCCGTTTTCGATGAACTTTTAGAAGAGGAATCCGAGTCAATTTTGCATACTAATTTCGGCCAATAACATTGACAACCCAAACTCATCTTCATCTCTTTTCGAATATAATGTATATCCAATAAAAGATTTTCAAAATCCATTTTAAATAATTTTTAATGACACTGACACCCCGAGATTTGTGTCTCATCCTGATAAAAGAAGATTCAGAATCGGAGTTGCTGCATGTGTTAATGGCGGGACATGGCCGAATGGAACATCTGAAATACGGTGACTGCAAAGCATGGGCCAAAACATAAGAGGTCGGCCTCGTAAGCCACTACCTCATTCAAATATAAGTATTGACCCTTTCCTTCTTCTGCGGTCACAAGATTTATGCTAAGGAATAAATTTTTAATATTTTTTAAAATATTTAAATTTATTAAATTTAAAGTTGTAAAAATATATTAATAATAAAAATATATCTGAAATATTTTTACGATGAATAATAATTTCTTTCGAATAACTGCATAAGTTACAAACTATCATTTTTAAGAAAAAAACATTTCAATTCAAATATTGTTTACGCCCATAATAGATGCAATGTAAACTAGTTTTATATAAAACTTTTATATGCACAGTTTTACTTAAACTTTTATATAGATGTTAAAAACATTCATCTTTATGAATAACAATTAAATTTTACATTATCTTCGCATCTTCTCAAAATATATTACAATTTTCAAACAATTTTTATATGTTTATAATGAGTTAACATCTAGTTAATTTTACACGAAATCAGTAATCACTAAATAAATTTAAATAAAATATTACGTTTTAATCAGTTTTAGACCGTGTATATAAATCAATTGTACAATAATCCTAGATTATTATTTTCTTTGTAATAAATTTTTTTTATAATGAGTAATCTAAAATAAATACTTCGATTTAAAAAAAATCACAATCACGTGATGTGTTTGTGTTAACAATAGTTCAACACAAAGGAAAGGCCAAAAGCAATAAGCAATTATTTTAATGCGTATTTGGGGTATCACTCGTTAGGTGGGGAATCAATTTGCTGGGTTCCCTAGTTTTCTTTGAAGTCCATCCTTAAAAAATGAAAAGCTAAGCACATATAGATTAGGTAACATGGAACATCTGTGATTGTTTGAGAAGATAAATTTGCTATGGTCAGGCATTGACTTTCATTAAGGCGGTTTTAAGCAACAAATTTCCTATTTAGGCGCCATCTTAGGTGAATTTTGACACTTTGCTCGACCACTCTCTGTTTCGGCACAATGTGTAATCTTTGTTCCTTTTAAACCCTCGATTTATTTTACAGAATATTCCTAATTGTAGCGATTACTCAAGGAACTTGATATTTGTAATTAATTCACGATCTAACTATCTTATTAATTGCGACATATTTAATGTAGTTGAATTACTGAATTCGTCACATGTGAGATACGGATATAAGATTCCATCAAATTAATAGCTGTTTAGTGGCATAACCAAGCGATTTTATATATTAGAGTGTTGATCATGCCAGCTTCATCTAATTATTACATAGTTTTGAAAAGCCAGAAAAACTAGATATAAAATATGATAAGAGAAACTTCTTAAATTTTATTTTTAATTCAAAATTTTTATAAATTAAATTAAAACTTTTATTAGAAGTAAGAAAAAGCCTTATCATGCAAAATTTTTAATCTATAAAAATATCTCTGTCTTCATTTAAACAATCTTAATTATTTATGGCTAAAATATCTATAACTCACTCCATAATTTGAAAGTCGCACAAAGTCTTAGCTGCTACAACGCGTAATACACGCTCCGAAAACAAGCGCGTCGACATAACATTTCCTTCGGTTTCAGTTAAGGCATTGCTGTCACTCCCAAGACCCACCTTCCGTTCTCCTTAGTCAAATTACCCTTATCACACGAAGTCACCCGACCGAACACTTAATTCCTTTTTGTTTGATTAAGTCCATAACTATTAACTCTCCTACCTATCCCACTCTCCAAAAAACACGCGCTGAGACGCACGCACCTTCATATCTTGAGTCGACTATTGTCAATTTGAAGTTTAAATACCAAAAAAATTAACACCTTTTTTCAGTTCTCCCCCACCAGGCAACCACCATGGCAGACAGGGTTTACCCTTCAACAAAACAAGCCACCAATGGCACCGCCACCGCAACCAACACTTCGTTTCCTGCTGTCGGAACCGTCTTTCGGTTGGGCTCCGGGATTGGGCTTCGACTTGAAAATGTGGATTTATTGGGTTAGGAGTCGCCACCGATTATTTATTTAAGAATAAATAGGTTAACCGGATACCTTATTCCTTACATGATCTGCGTCTTACCAGAAATATGTCGGGCTCGGGAGTCGGTTACGGTCAAGGAAGGATTAGCACCCTTGAACTGCCCTTTCGGTACTACGTAATTTCCAGTTGTCTTTAAGTACGAAAGTCGAAAGTTTAAATGTAAAGGTAAAATTACAATCCAAACTGCTTACCTTTGATTTATGTGAAATCATCCTTAAAAAGGTCATGTAATGTGTTAGATAAAATGGAAATAAATAATGGAGAAAGTAAAAAAATGGATGGAATAAAGGAAGTAATATATAATAAAGAAAAGAAATGTATAAAAAAAAGGTTGGGAAAAAAGAATATAATAAATGTGTGTAGAATATATATATATATATATATATATATATGTAATAAAGTAAAAATAATAAAAATATATACATATAAAATATTAGATAAAAAAAATAATAATAAAATAAATATATACATACTAACTAAATAAATAAAAGTAAGAAAAAAAGTATAATATAATAAAAGCATATACGTACATACTTATGAAATATAATAGTGATGTATACATATACATTTAAACTAAAGTATTGAAAGAAGTGACAATAATAACGAATAATGAAAAATTAAGAATGATAAATGATAAAAATATATGGTTGACTATATATAATAAGTGCACTATTTAAATAAAATAAGAGGGGGAAAAACGTGAAGGGACCAAATTGAACGGAAAATTGAATTTGGGATTGATTTAGAAGAAATTAGGAGTGAAATAAAAGCTTAGGAAGAAAGAGGGACTGAAACGGGTATTAACCCTCTTTTGAAAGGATACACGTGGATCCATTGCATGGAGCAGAACAGGCCATATATTTAGGTTAAAACCATTTTAACAATTCTCATTTACCCTTTTCATAAGCCGAGACCCTCCCCCTTTCTAAGTTCTCTGGGCCATTCTTCCAAGTGAAGAACACAGGCCCCGTTTTCCAGAAAACACCGCCTCGCGCCGCCTCGTCGTCGCCGTTGAACGGTGACGGCCACCGTTCATCGGCGGCAAAACTTATATTTTTTGTTCTTTTCGAAAGCTTTTCAAATTTCTTTTTCACCAATCGAATCTGTTTTTCAAAAATCAACCCGGAGGAGCATAGATCTAAAAATATTTCGGAAAAAAAAAAGGCCTCACTTCGTTCATCAACCAAAAACGTTTCTTTTGAGTTTTATTCGAACCACAACAATGAAGGAGATACGCATACAAGGTAAAAACGACAAACAAGGTAAGGAAACACTACCTCTTTATTTCCTTTCAAACTGATTACAATAGCTTCGAGTACTTCTATATTTCTCTGGTATTTCCGTAGGACTTTCGTGTGTTTTTTTTTGTCTTCCCTCCCTCATAAATGGATTACATGTCTTATTTATAGCCTAGAATCTAAGTGTTTGACCCCTATTAGAACTCTAACTCCAATGTTTGTTGGCTTGTTATCTTCATGAAATCCTTGCGCCGGAGGAATCGGAGTTGTGGGGGATGTGAGACGGGTGGCCGTGAAACTCGGAAAGGGAGGCGAGGGAGCTTGTGGCGTAGAACAGAACACTGCCAGGGTTAGGGTTCCTCACGGCTGTTGAACTGGGCTTGGTTCGTTTGTTGGGTTGCATGTTCAGGCCTGTAAAAAAACGAAATTAATAATATTAACATTATAAGGACGCAAATCACGTGTTTACACCTGCCCCTCTTTGCTTATTGTCGTGTAACGAAAATAGAGCAAAGATTAAATGACACATATTTCGTCCATATCGAATATCCTCCGTCGTAGAGTTGAAATCCGATGCTGAAATTGGTTTGTCGATCACGAAACGACTCACTCGTCGTGAAGTTGGGTCAAAACCGGAAAATTTTGAGCACGAAATCCTTCGTCGTGAAGTTGAAACCGAGCTCAAAGTTTTTTTGACAAGTGGCCTCTGAATCGTCTTCTGGCTCAAGGTACTTCGTCGTGAAGCTGAAACTTGACTTGAAGACTTTGGTGTTGTGGTGTTACAGATGACTCATTCGTCGTGAGGTTGGGTTCATCTGTTAGGGCATGATACCCTTCGTTGTGAAGTTGTGTATGCCCTCTTCGTCTTGAAGTTGAGCCTGGGAACTGGATATCCTTCATCGTGAAGTTGAAATCCAAGTGAGTAGTATTGTTCCGAGTCCAATATCCTCCACCGTGGAGTTGAAATTGGTTCTGGAACTGGGAAATTGTTTCTTGACAACCAGCGGTCCCTTCGTCGTGAAGTTGAACTTGTGTTGTCTGGAGTCCAATGTCCTTCGTTGTGAAGTTGAAATTGGCTCCGAAATTGAGAAGTTGCTTATTGACAACCAGCGGTCCCTTCGTCGTGAAGTTGAACTTGCGTTGTCTAGAGTCCAATATCCTTCGTTGTGAAGTTGAAATTGGCTCTGAATTTGAGAAATATTTGTTGACAACCAGCGGTCCCTTCGTCGTGAAGTTGAACTTGCGTTGTCTGGAGTCCAATATCCTTCGTTTGTGAAGTTGAAATTGGCTCTGAATTTGAGAAATGTTTGTTGACAACCAGCGGTCCCTTCGTCGTGAAGTTGAACTTGCGTTGTCTGGAGTCCAATATCCTTCGTTGTGAAGTTGAAATTGGCTCTGAATTTGAGAAATGTTTGTTGACAACCAGCGGTCCCTTCGTCGTGAAGTTGAACTTGCGTCGTCTGGAGTCCAATATCCTTTGTTGTGAAGTTGAAATTGGCTCTGAATTTGAGAAATGTTTGTTGACAACCAGCGGTCCCTTCGTCGTGAAGTTGAACTTGCGTTGTCTGGAGTCCAATATCCTTCGTTGTGAAGTTGAAATTGGCTCTGGGTAAATCCTGCAAAGATATGCATATATGCGATGGTATGAATGTCATGCTCTTAGGTATGCCTAAAAATGTATGGGCAACACATGTTATTCTGGGCTCTGGAGAGAAATCTTGATTTCCGGTGGCCTGTCGTTGTTGACTCTTGATTTTGAGGGCTTGAAGTTCCGATCTCTGATCTTGAATTCTTCAAATGTCTGAGTCTGATGTGCACATTCTGGTTTTTTTTTTTTTTTTTTTTTTTTTTTTTTTGGAAATGCTCCTCAACCATCTCAAGCATGTGCATGAGCCTTGATCGGCTTCTGGGTACCTGTACTTTTCCATGAATCTTTGTACAGTAATATACGATTATTTTTCATAAAAATAAATAAACCATTAGGTTTAAATCTAATTCAAGATGCTCGAAAGGAGTTGGAGGAAATATGGTCTTTATTCATAAGGGAGGAGAAGAACAAATAATACATGGCAAACATTCTAGAAGACGAATACACAATGATGTGTAAATGAATGTCTTAGATCTCGATAACGTGGGCACTTCTGAGCTGAAAAGTCTTTTGGTGACTTTGAATGCAGCCTTTGCCAAAGGATCTTTGAAAATGCGACAACGTTTGGGAGGGTGCAACATTTCTCCGATTTGTTGAGTTCGTAGAAGATTCATGTGCCGGGATGTTTCCACCGTTGATATCCAAATCGCCCTTTCCGGGTTTTCAACTTGGACCCATCCTTAGTTGCAAGACGCCCTTTGCGGGTTTTCATCTTGAACCCACCTTATTTTCTCTTCTTTTTTCTTTTTCTTTTTTCAATTTAGGACGCCCTTTCGGGTTTTCACCCTAAACGTTTTTTTTTTTTTTTTTTTTTCAACTTAGGACGCCCTCTCGGGTTTTCATCCTAAGCGAAATATTTCTTGACTGCGTCCGAGTTGATGGGATGTGGCAGTTCAGGTCCGTCCATTTCAGCTAGGACGAGGGCTCCTCCGGAGAAAGCCTTTTTCACGACATAAGGTCCTTCCCAATTTGGCGTCCATTTTCCTCGGACATCTTTATGGACCGGCCAGATTCTTTTTAGCACTAGATCCCCTTCGCGGAATATTCTCGGGCGCACCTTTTTGTCATGTGCTCGGATCATTCGTTTCTGATAGATTTGACCATGATGAATGGCTTTCAGTCTTTTTTCATCTATCAGATTAAGCTGATCATATCTGGATTGTGCCCATTCTGCATCATCCAGTTTGACTTCTGACAAGACCCTAAGAGACGGAATCTCGACTTCAATGGGTAGCACTGCTTCCATTCCATAGGCTAGTGAAAATGGAGTTGCCCCAGTCGAAGTTCGTACCGAGGTTCGATAAGCGAACAAAGCAAAAGGCAACTTCTCATGCCAGTCTTTGTAAGTTTCAGTTGTTTTCTCCACTATCTTCTTAATATTTTTGTTTGCTGCTTCTACTGCTCCGTTCATCTTTGGTCTGTAAGCAGTGGAATTATGATGTTTTATGTTGAACTGTTCGCAGGCAGCGCTCATCGTCTTGTTGTTCAAGTTTGTTGCGTTATCGGTGATAATCCTTTCAGGTAGACCATACCGACATATAATTTCTTTCTTCAGAAACTTGCAAATAGTGGATTGAGTGACACTGGCGTATGACGCAGCCTCTACCCATTTCGTGAAATAGTCAATTGCTACGAGAATGAAACGGTGACCATTCGAAGCCTTCGGATGGATTTGCCCGATAACGTCCATGCCCCACACAGAAAAAGGCCATGGTGACGTCATTACATGAAGCGGATGGGGTGGAACATTTATCTTGTCTCCATAAATCTGACATTTATGACATCTCCTAGCATAGTTGATGCAATCACTTTCCAGTGTGGACCAAAAATATCCGCATCTCATTATTTGTCTTGACATCATATGCCCATTTACATGTGCTCCACAAACCCCATCATGTACTTCTTCCACTATCATTTTTGCCTCTTCAGCATCGACGCATCTTAATAGAACTTGGTTATGGCTTTTCTTGTATAAAACCTCTCTGTCAAGGACGTATCCAGC